ACACACACACACACACACACACACACACACACACACAAACACACACACAGACACCCCCGTAACAATAGCGTTTTGTACTGCTGTTACACAGCACAAAACGCATAACAAATGTCAAGGTAAATTCCACAGATTATGTGTGATAAGGGCACAAGTGAAGCTTCGCATATTCACAGAGTGTGAAGCAAAAAATTCGAGCGAAAGTATGTGTCGATAGCAATTATGCGCACACTTGATCCAAGTTGAGGGGAAGGGGAGGGCAAGGGACCTTTCGTCCCCCTCCCCAATCCCCTCAGGGGTTAGGTAGCAGATGTTTTACTGTACAAAAGTTTGTTCGATACCCCCTGTCGTCCCCCCCGGAGCCTTCCAACTTGATTCCTAAGCTGATCCGAACAAAATGTACTCGAACTGCATACACCCGCACATACACACACACACACAAGTACAGACGCACAGACAGAGTCTTGACAATATGCGTTCTTTGCAACTGCTACAGCACGAAATGCATAAAAATGAATAAAAAATTAGAAGCTGTAACGAAATAGTGGAAGCAACACCTGTGCTTGCAGTACACTTTGTTGAGCAGCCAAAACTGGATCTGCTATATATACCGGAATTACAGGTTGCTGCTGCTGTTGCTGTTGTTGCTGTTGATGTTGCTGCTGATGCTGTTGTTCAGGGTGCTGGGGAATTGCTGTTGCTGGGACGGTAATGCGTAGAAAGTCATCTGGCAATTCTCCCAAGAAAACCTGTAAAATTAAAAGGTTTTTCTCAAACAATCAAACAGGAGAACACCAGGCAATACACTCTTCAGCTCTGACGACAGCTGACATTGGAGAGTACAGGAACGAGACCAACAAAGAGGATAAAAAATGTTGTGTGCCAAGGAAACTGTGAATTTTTTTTAGTAAATCTACCGATTCCACCGATTTACCAAAAAATGAACAGAGCTTAAGCTCTAAAACAATTAAAAGATTGTTGTTGCAGCTCTGCTTTACTCTATGACAAAAAGACGAATTCTTAAAATGCTATGACAAAGGAACAGATTCTCAAAATTCCAGTTCCGATTTGGTTTAACCCGGAAGCTGAACGGGCCAAAAATACGAAAATACAGGGAAAAACGCAAAAACTTTGCTTCGTTAGCATGAATTTCCTCATTTGGGTAGCAAATGCGGAAAGAAGTAAATACTGAAACTCGGATCAGCCAGGTTGGAAGGCGAGTTGCAACGAATAGAAGGTCGAGGTGAAGTGGTAAAGGCGCCGAGATAGGGGTTGAAGGCGAAGCTGGTGCTAACGAAAAAAATGGGGCGGAATTATTGATCCGAAAGGAGCGGGGTTTATGAAGGGGAGGGGTTAGGGAAGTTTTTTAATGCTCAGCATTAAACCTGATGGTAAGGTGAAGTCAACAGCCCTACAAAAAACACCCAGAAACTCATCTGGATAAAAAAAACCCTGTACAATGCAGCTCGAATTCGAACCCAAAAAAGCACAAAAATGAGGGCATACTGAGAATAGTTACCAAAAAAAGTATTAAGAGAACTACATACAGAGCTTGGGGCAAGGCCGAACTGTAGGTAACACAATGGCTGTGGGGAGACGGGAGGCAAAATTACCCGAGAAACGAATTTCTGCATTTTTGCGCTCATCAACTGTAAACTGACCTTCTTTCTTCGTTCGGCCGCACTCGTTTTCAGGAGTTTTGAGGCGGAAGATGAGTGTGGAAGCGTGGATGCGTCGTCTGACGATGAAGCCATTTCTTGGGTTACACCTGCAAAAACGTATCATATGGAATACAACGAAGTGCCGGCACTATGCTGGAGATAATTCCCACACATATTCTTTCGGCGAGCCTTTCACGAAGTAAAAGGGAGAATTCGTGCTTACTTTTAGTGAGAATTACATCAGTGACTTGGGAATGCGATACAGGGCAAATTCTTCTGGAACAACAAAAACTGGCCAACGCACCGGCTGCCGGTGCGAAAATGCATTTTTTGCATAGTTCTCCGCAAATTTTTGTCGCTGCTAGCACAGGTTTTTCCGGCAAATGCTTCTAACTGAACAAATTAATACTGGCCGCCAAAACTGTCAGAAAACATCCCTTAAAATTTCATCTTTCTAGCTTTTCTGGTCCCCGAGTTATCAACTTACTCGAGAAAAACTTTCACGGCCCTGCGCATGGCCTACACGCATACCCGGTGCCTGGGACTGAGCTTATTAATATCCAGTTGGATGAGAACATCCCCATAAAATTCCAGTCCTCTAGCTTCTCAGGCTGCCGAGTTAGCGGCATACCCGAAAAAAATTTCACGGGCCGTGTGTGGGTACCATGCTTACACGGTGTCTTGGTTAGTACTCATTAACACATACAGAAACAGGGAGCGTCCCCTTCAAATTCCAGTTCTCTAGCTTCTCAGGTAGCTTACCCGTAGAAACTTTGGAGGGCGCGTGCGTGAGTACCACGCATAGCCGAGGGCTGGGAGTGAACTCATCGAGACTTACGTGGACGGGGAACATCCCTTTAAAATTTCAGCTTCCTAGCTTTTCTGGTTCCCGAGTTAGCGTCTTATCCGCAAAAAACTTTCACGGCCCGAACGTGGGTACCACACGAGAGCGCCCATTTTGGAGACTGGGGTCTGTAAGAGTATGTAGATTAAGTTCCCAAAGTTTCAGCTCTGTAGCTTTTGTAGGTCTTGAGATGAAAAATCGTGCGAGACGCACACACAGACAACCCTCCGTCAATATGCGTATTCTGCATTGCATAGCTGCAAAAACCACATAAAAAACGGGAAAGTCAGGAACATCAATGGCGGACCGATCAACAGGCGTCACATCTGTCGCTGCAACAACTAAGTGAAAATGGGATTTTCAGAGACTGAATACCAAGTGCATAT